GTCACTTAACATAACTTGCTGAAAGTAGTCTAGGTAAGGCACATAGCGCTATTTAGCTTCGGATTAACTTCTGAGACCAATAAAAGTTAGCTAGACATTACTAAAGTCAGCTATTATCTGAACTTTGGAGGGGGCGGCCCATGCCATGCTGTCGCTTTTTAGAAGTCTGGCGCAGGTAAGACAGGCCGTCATTCAACGCCGGAGCTAATTTTAGCGAGCTTAATCAACTTAAGCCGAAGCTCTGTATGAAGTTAAGTTCGAAGCTAAGTCGCGCTGGGCGGGCATGGGCAGCGGGGGGAAGAAACGGGGGTGAGTGAGTGAGTGGCGCAGCAGCAGTCGAATCGATAGCTGAGGCCAGCGAATGAGGAGCGCGGGAGGGTGGGCAGAGACGTGCCAACCCTCCTGCTAGAATAAGGCGGCCGTGAGGGCGCCACGCCGCGGTCGTGGCCACCCAAAGGTACAGCGCTGGCCACGCTGCACAGTCAGAGTCCGCAGTGCAGTCTCCAAACTGTCACGGCTACTACATGTCGGCACGAACCCGACGGAAGGCACAGACGCCAGTAATATGAAAAGGGGAAACGAAATCGATTCGCTGCCCAGTACTTGTTAGTCCGAGGATCCCGAGTCCCCCTCCCCCGCGCCAAGCCCCACAACTCTGCTCGAGGCGGCCGTAGCAGCACGCACGTCTGAGCACTGAGCCCTGGCAACATGATGGAGAGTCGACCTGGTCGGACCCTGGGCAGGGTCGAGTGGCACTCCAGTGGTTGGGTGCCTGTCCCTCTCAGCATTCGTGGTCTTCTTCTTTTGCACATGGACGAAAAAGGGAGGAACAGGACGGGATAATCATTGGAGGCAAAAGCAACGAGCACGCGGGGGAGGAGGGGGGGAGGATGGAGGAAAGTGGCGGAGGGGGAGGAAGAAAATCGAGGAGGAGAAGGACTAACAAAGAGGAACAGTAGTACCGGAGTAAACCTAGGCCGTAAGAGTACGAGTAGCACCAGGCGTAGTCGCACTAGTACTTATAGGACGTAGTAGTATTCGTAGCATGTTTATTAATTGTTCGGATGTACTAGGAGTAGAAGTGGATTCGCAGATAAAAGAATCGTCAGGTCAGTGGCGCCGCATTCCCACAGCAGAGAAGCCACCATGATGGCACTTGAACGAAACAACTCTTACCGTTTGCCGGTTGGATTGCCCTGTGTAATGTCGTCGTCGTCGTCGTGCCCGCGACCCACCCCGCGATCCGCAGAACCCCCCCATCCGCCATATTTACGAGGGGTGTCAAAAACATTGGCCACGAAACGTATGAGGGGTGTCCCAAAGTGCGAGGGTGGCAGCATGAGGGCGTTCCCGCAGGGCTGTCGGTGGGGCCACGAAACGTGTGAGCGGTGTGCCAAAATGCGGGCGCGGCTGCATGCCCCTGCCCTTCCTCCTCACACTCCCTTCCCTTCAACCCTCCCCCTCCCCTCCCCTTCCCCCCCATCCCTCTCCCCCTCCTCCTCCTCCTCCTCCTCCTCTTCTTCTTCCTCGACTTTTTCGCAAGACGGTTGGCTCGCCAACGCGAGCCCCGAAACGTGCCGGGGCCTTCATTTATAGCAGTTTCTAGCGTGGCGGAAGTGGTCTAGCAATTTCCCTTTCTCACCTCTCACGTTTCCACTTCGGAGAGGGGTTTACTCCTCCCCATGGGTCTGGAGGGGCGCCCCGCGAGGTGTCAGGGTTTTTTTGGGGTCCAAGATGGCTGCGAGTGGGCCTTACAGAGCCAAAGGTGTTCTCGAATAGTGGATCAATATTGCCCAAATGGCTCAAGCCAGCTTCCAACAAGCACCAAGAGGCTTCAAGACCGCCCCAGGACGGCTCCAAGTGGCAACCAAGCCTCCCGAGGTAGCTTGAGATATTTGTTTAAATACAACATTGCTGCATTGCCTTCTTCCTCCTCCCCCTCCCTCGCCCTCTGGTCTCCCTGCTTCCCCCTGCCTCCTGATGCCTGTTGCCTGATGTCTTCTGTCTGCTCTTAGGCTGCCAGGTGCACAACAACGACGACAACTCCGACGACGATTCCGACGACGTCTCTGACCACGTCTCCGACTCCGACGATTCCGATTCCGACTCAAATTCCAGAGTCGTCCTCGGTGTCGTCGTCGTCGGAGTCGTCGAAGTCGTTGGAGTCGTCGGAGTCGTCAGAGTCGTGGGAGTCGAAGCCGTCGTCGTCGTCGTCGTCGTCGTCGTCGTCGTCGTGCTTGTTGGAGTCGTCGTCGGAGCCAGAGTCGCCGTCGGCGTCGGAGTCGAAACCATCGTCAGAGTCGGAGTCGTCGGCGTCGGAGTCGGAGCCCGAGCCAGAATCGGAGTCGGAGTCGAAGTCACCGTCGGAGTCGTTGGAGTCGTCGTCGTCGTCGTGGTCCTCGTCGTCGTCGTCGTGGTCGGAGTCGTCGAAATCGTCGGAGTCGTCGGAGTCGTCGATATCTTCGGAGTCGTCGGAGTCAGAGTCGGAGTTGTCGTCGTCCTCGGAGTCGAAAACGGAGTCGGAGTCGGAGCTGGAGCCAGAGTCGCAATCGTCGTCGGAGTCGGTGTCGGAGTCGTTGGAGTCGGAGTCGGAGCCAGAGTCGTCGTCGTCGTCGTCATCCTCGGAGTCGGAGTCGTCCTCGGAGTCGGGGTCGTCGAAGTCGTTGGAGTTGTCGGAGTCGTCGAAGTCGTCGGAGTTGGTTTCATGGTCGTCGTCGTCGGAGTCGTCGTCTGAGTCGTCTGAGTCGTCATTGTCGTCATTGTCGTCGTCGGAGTCGTCATTGTCGTCGTCGGAGTGGTCTTCGTCGTGTCTGCAGGGCAGGCTGGCTGTTGCACTTGTTCTTCCCCGCTTATGATCCTGAACATTTGCATTCCCAATATCTAGACGGATGGAGGAGGGTGGTAGCCATGAAGTATGCGGGAGCCCGAGATGAGAACCCGAGGAGGGCCCAAGACGGCCCGAAGAGGGAGGAGGAGGACGAGGTGGAGGAGGGAGTGGGGGAGGCGGAGGAGGGGGAAGGGGGGGTAAGGGTGAGGAGGGGGAGGAGGCGGAGGAGGAAGACGAGGAAGAGAAATATGAATAATGCACCCCGCACCCCCACTCGTGCATACTCCGTGCATGCCCTGACAAGCCCATGCGTGCATACCCCGCGCATACCCCGTGCATACCCTCACAAGCTTCGTGAGTACCCCGTGCATATCCTTAAAAACCAATGCGTGCATAACCCGTGCATACCCCGTGCATTCCCCGTGCATACCCTCACAAGCTTCGTGCATACCCCGTGCATACCCTTACAAACCAATACGTATGTTCTCCGCGCATACCCCGTGCATGCCCCGTGCATGCCCCGTGCACGCCCTCATGCACTGGCCAGTTCTGGGTGCTGCCAGGCGTGCAACTGTCGCAGCCCTCTTGCGCCCCTGAGGGTTCATCAGCATCGTCGTCCGCATCGCCAGCGTCGTAGATGTCGTCAGCGTCGTCGTCGTCGACATCGACTCGTCGTCTTCGTCGTCGACGACGGCTTCGACTCCGACTCTGACGGCGACTCCGGTCCTGACGACGACGAGGACGACGACGACTCCGACGACGACGAGGACCACGACGACGACTCCAACGACGACTCCGACGACGACGAAAACAAAATGTCCGACTCCCACTCCGACTCCAACGACTTCGACGACTGCGACTCCGACGACGACGAGTACGAGGACGACGACGACTCCGACGAATCCGACGACTCCGACGCCTCCGACGATTTCGACGACTCCGACGATTTGACAATTCCGATCACTCCGACGACGACTCCGACGACGACTCCGACGACGACTCCGACGACGACTCGGACGACGACTACGACTCTGGCTCGGACTCCGACTCAAACGACTCCGACGCCGACGACGATTCCGACTTCGACTTTGATTCTGGCTCCAGCTCCGACTCCGACGCCGACGACTCCGACTCTGACGACGGCTTCGATTCCAGCTCCGACGGCGACTGTGGCTCCGACGACGACGACGAGCACGATGACGACGACAACGACGACGACTCCGACGACGACTCCGACGACGACGACGACGACGACGACGACGACGACTGACGACTCCGACGACTTCGACGACTTCGACGACTCCGACGACGAGGACGATGACGACGACGACACTGAGGACGACTCCGGAGTCGGACTCGGAGTCGTCGGAGTAGGAGTCGTCGTCAGAGTCGTCCTCGGAGTCGTCGTCGGAGTTGTCGTCGTCGTCGCTGTGCGCTTGGCAACCTAAGAGCAGGCAGGAGATATGAGGCAACAATCATCACGAGGCAGGGGGGCAGCAGGGAGATGGGAGGGCGAGGGAGGGGGAGGAGGAGGATGAGGATGAGAATACGGCAGCAGCGTTCTATTGAAGAAAATACCACAACCACAAGAAGATTGCCGAAGCAACGAGTGAGGAGGCTGTACATAATAGGTGGAGCAGGCAGCAAGTTAGGCGGGAATCGATGACTGAAGAATTGTGCAGCGGTACCTGATGCTGATTATCTTTGAGTTGTTGAAGGGCTTTGGCCTCTTGGTGGCTGCCTTGGGAGGCTCTGTGGCCACCTGGAGCCGATCTGGGGCGGTCTTGAAGCCTCTTGGTGCATGTTGTCATCCAGCAAGAGTCACTGCAGGGTTTTTGAGCCATCATTCGAGGTCATCTGGGGCTCTCTGAGGCCCCTTGGAGTCATCGTGTGCCAAAAAGGAGCCTCTGACACCTCGCGGGGCGCCCACTCCAGACCCAAACTCTGCTCTTTCTCTCTCTCTCTCTCCATCTCTCTCTCTCTCTCTCTCTCTCTCCCTTTCATAGGGTCGAGCAGCTCACTGCACCAGCAGACTTTTTTGTGAGGTGGCTTCCTTCCTGCTCGCCCTCCTCGTCGTTATCCTCCTCCTTCGACCTCTTCCTCCTTGCTCCTGTTCCTCTTCCTCCTCCTCTTCCTACTCATCCATCTTATTCCTCCTCCTTTCGCTCCTCGTCACTTCCTCACCCTTCCTCCTCCTCCTCCTCCTTCTCCTCCTCGCCACCGTAGCCATTTTGGCTCAAGCCGCATGCTAGGTCGGGGCCCCAGACGCGCCCCTCTCTCCGCTGCATGTCTATGGCTACTGGCGCTGCTCCGGTGGTGTGCACGTTCATCGGCTGAGATGGCCCACCAGCGCTCGTCGACGGCTCGCGAAGCGCGTGCTCGGCGTGCTCGCCGACTGGGTTTTCTGCATGTTCCTCCTCGTGGCCACCGTTTCATCGCTGTGCCTGCTGCTCTTCATGCGAATGCTAAAAATATGTGCCAAGGACTTGCTTTGCACGCTCGTCTGCAGTCTGGGAACGGTGTTCGCTCCCACGGGCTTCGTCAAACTGCTTTTCTTGCAGGTGATCGGGTGGGTCCTGAAGCGACGGCTGCTCATCTTCGTGTTCATGTTCAGGCTGGCAGGGCCAAGCACCGGGTGCCATCGATGCCGCCCGACGCGACCGTCGTCCCGCCGGAGGTAGTGCGCACCACATTGGTGCTGCAGGATCTCCTCCCTCAGCGCGGCTCTCTTCCCATCGTTCCTGTGGGCATATGTGCGGGTACTCATCTACACAAGGTGGCTGCTTACATTTCTTCTATTGCTGGTGATTCCGTCCAAGGTGCTGTTGGAGTCAGTGAGCGGCGTGATCATGCTGGTCCACAAGTTGTTGGCCCTCCCTCGCCGCCGTGCGTGTCTTCTGGCTCCGCTGTTCGCCACGTTTGTCAACACGCGGTTGGTACACCTGCTGCAGCTGGACTTCCTGAAGTTGGGGATGTTGGATCTGGAGATCTTGCTCTGCGTCGCCGTGAGCAGTGTGGCCATCTTCCGACGCTACCTGGTGTGGCTGTTGATTCTCGTGATGCTGTTCCAGCTTCGTCTTCCCCGATGCCTGGTGCGGCGGTTGCTCCTTCCTGGGCTGTGCATGTTCCTCTGTGTACCTCGCTGCCTGGGGTGGCTGCTGACCCTGCATGTGGCGCACCTGTTCCTCATCGTGACTTGGCTGATTGTTGTGGTCAACATGCTGCTGCTTGGTCTGCTGCTGCTGGTCTTCCTGAAGGCGGGGGCACTGGATCTGGAGTTGTTGCTCAAGCTACGTCGTCCTCATTACCTGGTGCGGCTATTGATCCTCCCTGGGTTGTGCATGTTCCTCGTCGTTATGTGTCTGATAGACGTCCTCATCTTCCTACAGGTTTTCCTGATGGTCGTGATGATCGTTCCGCTGCCGCTGCTGGTGGCGCGCGGCGCAGGTCGCTGCTCAGCTTCGGCGTTGGCAAGGGCCGCTCTGACTGTGAGAACGAGCTGCCCCCACCTGGAGGTCGTGCTGAGCTTCGACATGATGACCTGGCTGTTCAAGAACAGCGACCATTGCGCTCCATACAAGACATGTTCGACCTCATGCGGCCGCTCGCTGAGAGTATGCGCAAGATGTGCGAGGATATCCACCTTCTTCAAGTTCAACTTTGTGAACTTCGGCATGCTGGCAAGTGGGGTGCTCCTCTTCCTGCTGCTGGTCACTATGATCGTGCTGATCTACCTCCTGGCGGTGTGTGCGTGTGGCTCTGGCGGGTATCGGGCCGCCCGCGACCGATCGCAAGTTGTTGTGCACGTGGACGTTGCTGCGAGTGGCGCGGCTACGCCTAGTCCTGGTGCTCCTGTGTCTCGACACCCTGTACTTCGAGCAGCCGACCGTGACCTTCGGCATGATGTAGACGAGCCTCTTGCTGGTGCCCCGCGTGTTCGCCCTCCGGTTGCCGCTGCTTCTTGTGGCGTTTTTCGTCCTCCTCCTGGCGAGTGTGCTCCTCAGGCACATGCGCTCCGATGGGCGGTTCCTGGTGCGCCCTTCCTGCAGCGTGGGGACCTCTTCTCGCTTCGCAGATGCAGCTCTCGTCTTGCTGCGCTGGCGGAAGGTCTGGTTCAGCGCAAAGGCATCGAGCACGACTTCAACCACGACGGTATGGCCATCTCCCCGCAGCCGCGCGTGGACTCCCTCTCTTCCAGCTCTGACGGCATCGCCGTCGTCGACACCTTCTCCGAGGGCGTCGGCTTCATTGACATCGACGACTCCTCCGCCCAGCCCCTGTGCAACTTCGGCAAGGTCGTGGGGACAGGCCCCGCGGCGGCCTAGGCGGCTGGGATGGGGGCTCTTCTTGAGGCGTGGGCTCCTTCTCCTCCTCGCCCCCGTCCTCCTTGCTCCGTTTTCCAGCCTCCAGGGAACTCCAACGAGGGCTCCGTAAGGTGTGTTCGCATGGCGCCACCGCGCCTTCTCGCACGTTGCCCCCATGGAGCTCCACCGAGGACCCCACAGGGTGGTCGCATGTCGTCACTTTGCCACTTCCTCCTGTTCACTTTCGTCGTCGTTATCCGTTCCCTCCTCCTTCCTATCCTTTCTCCTCCTCCTTTTCCCTCCTGCTGCTTCTCCACCTCCTGATCTTCCGTCTTCTTCCTCCATTTCCTCATCTTTATCCGCCGTCCTCTTTCCGCTTCTCATCCTCCTCCGTTTTCCTCATCCTCCCCCGTGCTACTTCCTCTGTCCTCGTCCATCCAGGGAGCTCCAACGAGGGCCTCGTAAGGTGTGTTCGCATGGCTTCGCCGCTCCTAGTTCGGCGCACCCCGCGCGCGCTTCGTCGCCCACGAGGAACTCCACCCAGGACCCCGTAAGGTGCGTTCGCATGGCGTCGCCGCGCCGAGTTGGGCACGACCCATCACACGTTCCGTTGCCCCCAGGGAGCTCCACCCAGGGCCCCTTAGGGCGCGTTCGCATGGCGTTGCCGCGCTTAGTTCGGCATGCCCCTGACGCGTTCTGTTGCCCCCCAGGAGCTCCACCGAGGGCCCCGCAGAATGCGTTCGCATGGCGTCGCCAGTCTGATTTCTCCACGCCCATTTCAAGTTTCGCGGCCGCCATGCGTGGCTCCACCGGCGGCCCTGTGAACGTGATTTAGTATGATTTGGGTTGACTTAGCTTTATCTGAACTTTCGACGTTGCTAAGTACTTTCCAATGCTTAGGTTAACTGGTTACAAATACTTAACATCTAACCCTCTATAACCCAGTTAGCGAGTGCCTAAGTGGGCAAAGCGCATGAAACAGCTGGTTCGGCGCGGCCGCGGGCTGGCGGCGATCGCGGCGCTGGCGGCGGTCGAGGCGCGCGTTCGCCCCTCGGAGCTGCTGTCGCTGAGGCGCCGCTCGCTGTTGCCGCCAGCCACCGGCGGGCTGACCAGGCGCAGCCTCTTGCTTCTTGCTGTTCCCAAGGAGCACCGGCACGACGCGGAGCGAGACGAGCGAGACCGACGACGCAGCGGCGATGGACCCACCGCGGACGGCCTGGCTCTCTCACGTCTTCAGTCGCTTCAAAAGGGGTCCCAAGGACGAACGGCTGCCCCCCTGGGGCAACAGCCAGTTCTTTCAGATTTTCGCGCAGGCCGCGGCGGTGCTGGGTTTCAAGGGGCGCCTTATCAAGGTCGGCACAGCGGCATCTCCATCGACCGGGCTCATCGAGAGCGTTGTCTGGGCGAATGCGCGAATCGGGGCCTCTGGAAGGCAGCTAAGAGCGTTGCCAGGCACGAGGAGGCGGGCCGGCTGAAGGACGCCTGGAGGGAGCTGACGGCCGCCCGGCAGGCACGCGCCATCGATTGCGAGCGCCACCTCGAGGAGTGCGACGCGCGTGGGCGCCGCCTGCCGGCCCCGGCGACGCGGCCGCGACGCCCTTCCTTGCCGAGTTTTTCAGCGGCGCAGGGCGAGCGGCGGCTGCTGCGAGACGGGCTGGCTACGCCTCGCAGGGATGGGGCGCGAAGGCCGGGCCCGCCGGCGACCTCCTGCGGCCGCGCGCGGGGGTGGATCTGCGCGAGCGCGCGCGGAGGGGGCCGGGCATCATGACGGTTCCGCCTTGCCCCTCCTTCTCTGTAGTGCAAAATGTGAATGCGCCCATGAGGAGTAGACATGTCCCCGGAGGCCTGCCAGGATTGCCCGAAATCCAGCGTGACGAGGTACAGCTCGGAAGCGCCCGTCTAGATTTCTGCCCGCGAACAGTCAGGACGCGCATAAGGGCGCGCGTCCCACATTGTTTAGAGCACCCCCGCAGCAGCTATGCGCGGCATGATCCAGTTTCGCATTCTCTTGTAGAGCGCGCTACCCGCCGCGCTGCGGTTGTGAACCATTTTGCAGTTCGGAGCGCCCCGCCCACCTCGACTTGGGCCTCTTCGGCCGCCCTGGGGCTGTCGCCTGCGCGCGGCGCCGCAGCTACTGCTCCTTCTCGGGCGAGGAGCATATCATCCTAGAAGGTCGGGCCGTGCACGATGGACATTCTGTTCGAACCTTGTGGCCCAAGATGCCCCCCAGACCCCCCGAAATCAATGTCGACGGCGTGGCGACGGGGTGGGCGTGAGCGGGCGGAAATATTCGAACCCCAAAGCACCGCCTTTGCTGAGAACAACATTGATGTTGGGGGCGCGGGGGTGAAGCTGGCTCGCCGCCTCGCTCGGTCGCTGTCGTCGCCGATTTGGACCAAGCGGTATCCGATCTAATTCGCATTCGCCTTGCAACCTGCCCCCCGTGGCTGAGACCTTCGGCCTGGGCCCTAAAGGTTCGGGGCGCGGTGCAGATTTCTGAGATTCGAATTGAGGCCGCGAGCGGCCCCGCAGTTGAGCTCGCTCATCTGTCCGATCCAGTGGCGAACCCCAGGGCCCGCCCCGCAACGTTGTGTTGTTCTCCGCCAAGTGGCAAAAAGAGCATGTTATGCTCTTCCAGCCTCAGCCTGTCGCGCCTGCGCAGAAGCGCCCCGCCTCTGCCGTAGATCCCGCTACCGTTGGTCTCAAGCCCCCGCTCGCGCCACCCTGAACATGGACAGGTGGTATAGTGCAGATTTGCGACCGCGAGCGGCCCCGAGCCAGAGTTCCCTCATCTTTCCGGTTCAGTGGCGGATCTCATGGCCCGTCTCGCGACATAGTGTTGTTCTCCGCCAAGTGGCAACGAGAGTTGTTTTCCAAATCGACGATGTTGGCCTCTTGGGGCTCTTCCGGGAGGCCTCTTGGAGCGCTATGGGGGCCTCCTGCGGCCCTCCTTGGCAGGCTTGATACCACATTCGGGCGCCTCGGAGCACTCTTGGCTTAGGCATAGCGAAGATGGCGTACTTTGCAAGGGCTGACGGCCACGTGGACGCGAAAGCTACAAACTGCACGACACGACGTTTTGTTGCCTCGGGGACGCAAGCATCAATCAATTCTTGACGCTTCGCTTATCCCCATTAGCCCCTCTGGACTGCGTCACCAGTGTCAGTCTGTTTCTACCCGCCAGACTCCCTGGATAGACGTCCTGCTCGGAATCGTTCCCTACCCTTGCTCTTTTCGTTCACGGCGGGAACGCTCGCGCGCCATTTTGGCTGCGCTCGGCTTTCCTCGGTGGCTGCACTCAGACTCCATGGATGTGCCGTTGCATGTACCTTCAGGGGCTGCCCTGCAGACTCCCTGGAACGAAGTGACTCTGAGGGACGCGTTTTGGGTATACGACGGTCCCGTCCCGCGGGTGCTACCCTACACGCTTATGGGTGGCGCTGAGACACTTTGGACGTGCATTATCAGCTACGTGTT